CCCGGGGCGGCCGCTGGTTGGCTCGCTTGTCGCCCTTGCCTCCAATCCCGGATGCCTGTCCTAATTTCCTGATCCAGGGAACCTGCCGCCGCAGCAGCTGTGCGCTCCCTACAGTCATCACTGTCCCCTCCCGGCAGCCGCCAACAGTAAACGCAGCAGCAGCAGTTAGCGCTGATGCAACTATTGCTGCTATTGCCATCGCCTCCCCACTAAGGGGGCTGGCAGCGGTGGGGTGGGGGAAGCTTGCAGCTTCCTGGGGGCTACAAGCATCTCTCCACCACTCCTCCCTGAGCCCCTAAAAGAGGCTGGTACTGTGAGGCTGGTAGGTAGCATCTTTCTCCTGGCCTCCTCTCTCCACCGGAAAGTGCTGAAGAGGAGGGGGTCCAAACGTTTGGACTGCTCTGCTGTGAGGTTCGGGTGACTGTCTCGATCGCACGCTGAGATGCCATTTTGCTGAAAATTAAATGTGTCTTTAAGTGAGAGTGTGTGTGAGAGCGAGCGCACGCGGTTGTGGTTTGTCCTCTGTAATAGAAGGAGACTAAAATAACCTAGTCTGGGATGAGGAGGAGGGAAATTGCTAGAGCAGTTCTGCATTCTCTCATCAGCGATTATAGTTAATTGCTAATTGCACAAAATGATAGTTTGAGGGCCTGTAATTAAAAGCTTAACCTTTTCTTGTTTGGGGGAGGGGGACCCCGTCGGTTTATTCTTCTTTATATACTTTGTAGCATTCAATTACAAGGCTTAAGGGAAGAAAAAAGGAAGCTAAAGGGGAAAAAGGGAAGCAAAAGCAAGACTCCTAGGAAGGGTTGATTCTTGTTTCCTGCCTGACAGTACTTGATCCTCTAATTTGCTTTTTGTGTTGTACTTCAGTTTTCTTGTACACTTACCCTTGACTGAAGTGCATTGTTTGCTGTGGTCTGTTACACATCTAGAGAGTGGGAAGGCACACGGAACTCTCTCAGCTTTTTAAGCAAAGGATTTATGTATATATTTAAAAAGTTTTAAAACTAGGCAGATTTCAATAAGATCATGTTCTGGGTCTAATCAATCGGTAATCTGGGCAGCGGTGGGCACTGCCTCATGGTATTCTCCTTGCCCTGCTTCTCCTGGGCGTTTGTCAAGGCTAGACATCAGAGAGGATATTTATTAGGAACTTACTGTACCAAGGGGACAGAGAAAAGCAGACATTTCACAGTCAGGAAAGATTTTGATGGGGTCAGAGGATATCAGATCGTGACCAATAAACATGAAGGGCTTAACTCTGTACGACGGGGTCTTGCGCCATGTCTTATACGCAATTCTGTTCTGCCCACCCTGTGTTTACACTGTTGACAGAGCAACCACACACACATCGCATGGGAGACTGGATCGAAATGTATTTTATGCCATCTAGTATGAAGGTACACGTTGGTGTTCACCCAGCAGGCATTGGAATGTGATGGTGAAACCTCAGGTGCATGATGTCTTCAGTGTTCTCGAGGTTCTAAAAGGCCGTCTGATGAGCCTTGTCTCATTACAGAAGAGAGAAGTGGGTAGAGGAGATGAATGGAACTTAATTTATCACCAGAGGTTAACATACAGAGAAGCTAAGCACTATATGGTCTAAGAAGACTAATCTTGGACAAACATGCTTTATACCTTATGTTTCTTCAAGAAATATAAATAAACTGCCGGTGAACTTAACTCCAGCTCTGTGTTTAGTCCTGTAATGCAACTTGTCACCTCTGATTGGCTACATAACAGGAAAAATCACTGTGCCTCTCTGTGCCTGCTTTCTGACCTGTAAACTGAAAACAAAAGCAATCTACATAGTGTCAAGGCCTCTGTGACCTCAAGGAACAACTCTCTGCAAAGTGTTGATTATTAGAAGAAAAGAGGTATAAGAATATATTTGATTGACATAGAAAGTAGCCAATAACTGAAAAGGTAAACCCATTGTGAGTGGAGATTGATGTGGTTCTAACTGGGCTCGGAGAGGTTGCTCCTGCTAGGTTCAGGCAACTGCATAAGCATTCTGTTCACTCCCACCATCTGCCATTTTCATTTACTTGTTGAAGCAACACATACAGGTATCTCCAGGTAGCAGGCATTGTATGAGACAGCGAGCAAGTATCTCGGGAAGCTCAGGAGCTGGTGGGGGAGGCAGGCAAGTGGCATTGCAGTACCCTGAGTACAGCACCAGGTTCAAGACATGCTCAAGGTGCTAGGACATTACAGGGAAA